TTGCGCGGTGCTGAATTACTTTCTTCAATAGTTTATCTTCTTAAGAATTGCAAAGGAAGACGTCAGGAATTGGTGATTTTGACCCGTCGTTTCGTAATCGTACATAAATTAAAGAAAGAAGCTGTTTTATTTGAATATTTCACATATTAATGCATCATACGAAACTTAATATTAAATATTCTACTTCATAATCTTGCTGTGCCAAATCGTGAGGCAACTGAGAGGCGCCTATAGAGCGCAAAGAATTAACAACGGAGTATATTTTTAAAATCTCGTGTATTTAAAAAAGAATCGTTACGTCCTCAAATTGTAAATGACGGGCGATACCTCGTCATCCGTCCGCAACGCGTTAACACTTATGGCGTGAACCGTGATCGCAATGGAACGTTGCCTTAGAAATCGCACGCTGTATAGACGACCAAACGCGCGTTCCCAACCCAGATTTTCCAAATGGAATTTTCCCCGTTCGCCTTCCAGCAACTATGGACTCGACGAATCCAATAGTCTCAGCAATGTGTCACGGTGGTGTCCAAAAGAAAAAAAGGAAACGTCTTTTTCTTCGATTATTTCTCCATAGAAGGGAATCAGCTGCGCCCGTAACGAATTCCACGAATCCTTTCTCAGAACAACAACGAACGCTCCTTTTAAACCGAAGAACCACTGGTAAAGATCGCGAATGATCCAACGACGATCCATCCATCCCATCGAAGCGATCGAGCGTCCTCACAACGTTCAACGTGCGAAATTTCGATATTGACGAACGGATCGTCCGATTATTGCTAGTATAAATAGTGTCAACGCCGAAACTGCGCGAGTCTATTTTTAACCGGCAATTTCACCCGGAGCTCCTTAGATAACCAATTTCACAAACTTTATCAATCATACGAGGAATTGTGCAAGACAAGTCGATCCGGAATGCTCGCGAGAATCAAAAAGCGTTCACGCGATCCGACAAAAAGATTAATATCCCCGGCGAGTCGCCGGCAAAAAGCCGAATAATCTTTCCTCTTGCATCCAAGGATACGTTTTTCGAGAGGAGAAATCCGATTTCCGTTTCTCTTTTTAATAAGGGAACGTGCGGCTAGAATACGGGAACCATATTTTATCAGCGAGATATTTTTCTCTGCCGCGATAAACACGCAATCCGGGATCGACTGGACGGGACACGCATCGCGGTATGAAGCATTGCTGTAACAATCGAAAAAGGAAACGCGAGGGATCGACAATGAGACGAATTTCCATCGGTGCAATAAATTTCTGCCCTCCCCTTTCGCCCCGCTCGCCGCAGACCGTTCCCGCTAGCCAGGGCTTCTGAATGAATGAACCGACGGCCCGAAAGGTGAACTTCTTTTTTCGACGTGTTTTATACACGACACGGAGGGAGCCGTTTACGGCTGTCGTAATCCACTGACGGCAATGACAGCTGAAAGCCCACGTTGTCTTCGGTACTCGCGGCGGCACGGCACAGTGGCACTAACATCGGGAACATACCTGAGCTCCTCTGCTTTCTCATTCGGCTTCCTTTGTCCGCCATTTTGGTTCTCTTAATCGACGGTGTTCGGCCACTCGCGGAGCCCGAATAAACGTTCGATCGTAAAACAACGATGATCTTTCTCGTTTATTTTAGGGCTACCAGTGTCTTCTCGCGAACAATATAGCGGGGATTATTAAAAATTGATGGATATCGAAATTCTGGTTGGAACGATAATTTTATTATGATCTTTGGTGTTCGTATTTTAGGCGAATAAATGAACATTCGCGATTTAATGATGAATAAAGGAACGATCGTATTTCATATAAACATCTATTTTGTGATAATTTACCGATGAAACGATTTACGGTTAGAATTAGTATTTATTCACACTCTTCACACGCTTAATTCGATAAAGTGTACAATGTAATCACTGTAATTACTTAATACAACGATTTAGTGATAATTTACTGATGAAACGATCAGAATTAGTATTTATTCTCACTCTCCGACACGCTTAATTCGATAAACAATACAATATAGTTGCTATAATTACTTAATACAATGATTCAGTGATAATTTACCGAAGAAACGATCAGAATTACTCTTAATTTATTCTCACTCTCCGGCACGCTTAATTCAATGAACAATAATCGCTACAATTGCTTCGCACAATGATTATAATTACAAACGCTGTATCGCAAGGAAGTAGTACGTTGAATTTCTCAACTTTATATTGAAAAGGAGTTCGATTGTTCTAACAGATCGCCGAGCGGCGCTGAAAATGGCGATGTTTCCGTGTTCCGAGGCAGCCGGTCGTTTCGAAACCTCCTCGGCGAGTCGTAGTTCCATAAATGATCACGCGCCGGTTATTGAAAAGCGTCATTGGAATTAGCCGTCTACACCTTTTCCCATCGGTTCCGTTTATTTCCGCTCGGCTGAGCGATCTGCATAAGCGAAACTAGGTTGGGAAACGATCAAACTGGCCGCCGGTGATACGCCAAGGAGGCGTTGATAATCGATAAGTAACCGTTGCTCGCCCTTCAGCTTCGTGTTCGCAGCATGTCATTACTTACCGGTCTGCCCTGGCTGACCGGCGAACCGAGATTCCTGTAATTAGGAGCAATAATTAATTAGCCCTACTTCCCCGGTCTCTCTCGCTGGACCAGTTACCCGCTCACCCCCTTTTTTCCCCGGCCGAACAAGCAGCCGGCCGATCGATCGATGAAGTTAATTATAAACTTCTTAATTAGACCCGTCCCAGCCGAGCCACCGCGAAAGCGCCCCGCTCGCGCAGCTTCCGTATCGGGCACTAAAATTAATATTTCCTTGCCGATTGTATCTGATCGATCGTTACTCTTACAATCTTACTTCGGCTGATCCAACGATAATTACCTGAAGAAAATTGTTTCCCTCCTCCGAGTAGAAAAATCTCAGCATTAAGGATCTAATTTTCAAGCTTCTAAATTAGGCAGGTTTATCGCTTATTTATGCAGATGATATTTAAATTTAAGATACTTCTTTTAAACACAAGTAGCTCGTTCAACGTTCAACAGTCGTTAGCTTATATTAATAACAAAAACGAGATGTTTAATATTAAACGTTAATTATTTATTATTGAACATTCCGTTTACAATGTTTACGATTGAAATTCAAGGAAATTCACGGCGGAATTAGGAAAAATTGTTCGGCCATGGAAGAAACGCAACTCGAGCAGAACGGATTGAAAATCAAATGAGGAGTACAAAGAGGAGGGGAGTGTACAGGCGTATGAAAATTTGAATTTACGGTCGTCGGAATAATTACGTGTAATGTATTCAAAGGGGCCAGTTTTAATCGATTATTTTCACCTGATTTACACGGGTTCGTCTGTTCCGCGGCTTTGCCCTCACACGGAATGTACGTGGGTGGTATATATTTAGCGGGGGCGTCCCATGTAGCTGGTGTGTTTCACATTCAAATCGAGGAAGTTATGTCAGGGCAGCCCGCGGGCCGCGGGCCGCCGTTGCATGTATAAATAAATTGTAACGAACGCGATAACTAATCCGCGAAACGTTTTCGCGTTTCGCGCCTTTTCCGTACCGGGCAACCAATAATCAAGCGATCAGGAAATTCCGCCGTTGCAATCGGATTCTTGCGTGACATCTGTGCAAAAGTGTTTCATAAAACGTGGACATTACTTCGACACATTAAAATAACTCAAAACTCTTTCTCCCTCCCTCTCTTTCTCTCTTTCTTTCTCTCTCTCTCTCTCTCTCTGTCTCTCTTTCTATTTTCTTGTCTTGCAGGGAACTTTAAACATGCTGTTACACGTGGAAGTTCATATACCGTTCGAATGTTTCTGAATGCCAGCAATGTTAATAAACGTTTACACGACTGTAAATATTACTGTAATTGCCCACGAGTCGCGCGAATGAAAATTCTTTTCCTCTCGCGAGAGTTTTCGACACAGCTATGCAGATTTCGCGAATTACCGTTGACGTTCTCGATGATCGAGGTTTTAACGTGGATCCTGTAGTTTCAGTGACTGTCTAGGTGAAGTGAAGATCTTCTTCGGCTTCTTCGGCATGGCCATGTTATGAAATAGTTGCTTTTTAAGCTTTGAACGATTTCGAGTAGTCTTTAATTTTTATTTTCTTTGAGTTATTCCATCGAGTGTCAACGATTTGACTGATTCGACTTTTCCTCTCGCGAGAGTTTTCGACACAGCTATTCACATTTCGCGAATTACCATTAACATTTTCGATGATCGAGGTTCAAACGTGGATTCTATAATTTCAGGAACTGTCTAAATGAACTAAAGATCTTCCTGTTCAAGGCAATATCATAAAATAGTCATTTTAAAAAGTTTGAACGATTTCCAGTATTCTTTAGTTTTTACTTTATTTTAATTACTCCGTTAGTCGTTAATATCTGAATTATTATGCACGAATTATTCATTGTAAATGCTTATTATTGAACATTCTTTTCCCCTCGCAAGAATTTTCGACACAGCTATTCACATTTCGCGAATTACCATTAACATTTTCGATGATCGAGGTTCAAACATGAATCCTATAGTTTCAGGAACTGTTTAGATGGCCTGAAGATCTTCCTGTCCAAGGCAATATTATAAAATACTCATTTTAAAAATGTTAAACGATTTTAAATGTTTTTTCATTCTTATTTTCTTCAAATTATTCCATCAGGTGTCAACGATTTGCATTATTACACACGAATTATTAACCGTAAATGCTAATTAATGTATATGGAAATACACATTTACGAGGACTAAACCGATGGGACCAGAAATGATATTCAACGCTACAAGTCAATTCAAATTAGTCGCTAGCATTGTTCACGCGTGTGTTCACATTGAGAGACAGCTGGCAGAATAGAAAAAAATCTCGTAGACAATCGGTCGGTGTTTCATGGTTCGGTAGCCGTGAGTCGAAATGTTCGCCAGTAGGTAGCGTGTCTCGTTGGGGAGATAAAGGTCAATCATGACGGGGGTGACTCACCAAAATTTTTGGCATACTTTTTCTTCCAGACGGGCTACGTGAAAACGTCGACGGGAAGCTACATGATTAAACCGACGAGGCCGTGGCGGGGGAACGACAAAGATTCTCTAGAATTTTCGCTGCTGCACGCGATCCAAAGGGTGAGGACACTGGCCACGGATTCCAACCGCTTTCACGAGAACGAACACTCGTCTGCGGGCCACAACTGCGGCTTAAATGGTGAGTGCCAATCCGTTTTAACCTCAGTTACATTTCAATTGAACGGGATTCCGCAAACGTCGATTTTTATGGCATTATTTTTGGGAATTAGAATGGATGGGAGATTTGTTTGTTCTTAATATTACCATCGCGCGTCGTTAGCGATAAAAGTCTGTACAGTTTCAACTATTTTGTATATATATCTATTAGTTAATATTAGATAAGGTGAGATGAACTTTGGGAAAAAGAAGTGTCTCCAAAATGTCAATTCTTTACTAATGCTCTGAAATAAAATTCGTTCTATATAGCATTTCATATTCTAATTGAAAATTGTACTTTAGTTATAGTCAAAACATCGATTCCTTCTAAAAAATATATCAACACTATGCCATCTTCCAATTAGAAATTATTCTTCAGTTATTAATAACCAAATCATCAGTTGCTTCTAAAGAATACCCCAACACTATTCCATCTTCCAATCAAAAATTAAACAAGCATTGATAACCAAAGCATCAATCCCTTCCAATAAACACATCAAAACTACTCCATCCTCCAATCAAAAATTAAACAACCATCAACAATCAAAGCATCAATCCCCCCAGAAAACACATTATTCCATATCTCGCATCCTCGCATCCCCGCACAGATGCACCCTTTCTCAATGCCCAGATATTATTACAGCGAAACGATGGCACGCCGTGTCTTCATCGAAAAGTGAAGTGTACAACATGTCAAAACTTTCGTCCCGCTGTAGGTACACGTCGACCGGTGCGCGCATACTCGAAATGCCCGAAGACGGGTTTCGGGACGAGTGAGGTCCCGCGCCGAAAACGTATTAATAATGCATGCGCTCGGCCCGTGCACATTAGGCGGACGGATGCACACGTGCACCGGTCGCGGCGTCGTCGTGTAGTACTACAAATGCCCAGGGCCTCGGCTTCGATACGATACGTATCGTTTTATTCATGACCCTCCCCTTTCCCTCCCCTCGACCGCCACCGTGTCGCATCGGCGAAAGTTCATTCGGGCTCTAACGTAAGATTCGCGAATAATAAATCGGATCCCCCGGTGTCACCGGGAGTTTTTGGGCCCCGCGACCGGTTTCGCCATCTCGATTAACATTCCGTTATTGAGGTATCGCATTGTCGGACGCGTAAATCTGTCAGCGTATTAACACCGGTACTAACTACCAAGTCAGTCGAAATGCCCAATTCCTGATTTGTTCTTTTGGGATAACTGCAAGTGCAGAGACTTCTTGGAAGTTGATTGCAAAAGCTGATTTAGTAATACCTGAATTGACATGTTAGTATATAAGCTTCTTTCGTAGTCTAATTTTAATGTTTCTCCGAGGTTTTTGAAAGGAAAGAAAATAAGATCGGTATGATCGGAAGGTAGAATAAATCGGAGTTTCGTAATAGGACAAAATGTGTATTGATTATATCAATAAAATGAAAGGTTTTGGGGCAACCTAATAAATTGGAATCGCAATGAATTCATGGTTACAGGTTTCATGGAGAAATTTTAGGAAGACGGTTTAAGTGCTTGGTAGTTGTGTTAACCTCTCGCTTTACAATAACGTGTCAGACATATTTTAGTTTATGGATTATACGTAGTTTAATATTTTGTGTAACACTTTATAATTTTGGTACATCAAATCGAACAGTGAGTGAGTCATCTGTCGAGTGCAAAGGGTTAAACTTTGTATTATATGACGCGTTGATATGTGAAATATTGAAATATAATAGATTTGTTTCTTAATTTATATACTTTTTCTCATTGGTTTCAAGGAATGTCGTCTATGGATCATTCGAAATGTTGAATATTTCTGAAATCTTCATGTATGAAAGGTTAACACGTTGATCGATTGTTCTGAATGGTTTGAATATGATTGTGATATGCAGGTTTATTCGGTATAATGAAAATTTTACATCTAAACTATATTTTGATTGTATTTATTGTAGCTGTTTGGCGATGAACATCTATTTCAGATTGATACAAGGATTTTTGGAAGTGCTGTAGTTTCCTCGAATGGTTTCTTATAGCTTCTTTAACGCATAAATCGGCCGTTTTTAAGGGTCTTGTCATTTTCGAAAAGATTATGCGTTAATTGCTTCTCCAGTGGTCGTCCTGCTTGTTTATATCGATTTCTCTTTCTGCGCATACAGGTGGTCGACTCGGTAATTCAATGAACCCAACATGGCGGTTAATCCGGGTCCTATAAAAGACGGAAGTCGCAGAGATATATTAACATTCTCCTTGTTTTTTCCTTTAAGTCGCGTTCGTTATTTTCTTCTTTCAACTAAACGAAATTCACGGGTCGAATGTTCTTTTCGATCGCACCGCGCAGTGAGCAAAACGTTCCTAGATGATAAATGAAATTTCTTAATTAAAAGCAATCGCGGCAAAGAAGAGCTGCTCAAATTGATGAATGAAATTCGTTAATTGAAAAAATCGCTACGAGATTGGACCACCCTTTACGAAACTGTAATTGCCAATTGACCAGCGAGGATCGCCATTTATTAGAAGAGCAAATTGATTTCTTTCAGAACGTCCGTTTGAAGCGTCGAGCGAATAAAAAGATCTGCTCCGGCCGGGCTCCTCTAAGATGAAGATTTCTCTCTGACAAATGCTTTCATCTACTTAGGGAATCACCACTTTAATTGACGGTTGGCGACTTTTTAGTTTCGTTACGCCGTCCCGACTTCCCTCTTGCCCTTTTCGAGCCTCGGGGCAAACTCGTGCGTACGAGTTTAAAGAACGTTCACCCTTCGCGTACGAAGACGGAACATCAGCATCGCGTTCCGTTCCACCAGAGATTTTGGAGGATTCCTCGGCAGAAATGAACGAAATATCGTATGTTCGAAACGTGATTTACTTTACTTTCTATTCGAGAATTATGAGTTTTAAATAACGTATGAATAGGATGTAGCTCAGTCACCACTTGATTTGAGGCAGTGAAACTATAAAATCTGATGTTTAATGTTGAATTTTATACAATGCCTCGGTATGTGAAAACTTAGAATAAAACAGCTTCGTTCCTTGATGTACTTGTGATTTCTTTTCGAGTTAGTTTCAAAGAATATCTACGCCTCGCCAAAACATGTTAAATATTTCTAACGAGAAATTTCCTAGTGCAAAAGGTTAACCCGAATTAATTAACTCCGAATTTCTTTTGCATTTCTCGATAACTTTATTGTTGTAATGTTTGATTTGGAATGCATTTGGAAAATAGTTTATAGAGAGCAGTATAAATAATCCTTATCACTAATAATATTGAAAATAACATAATAATATAATATATTTGAAAAATATCTCGACAAAGCGGATCCGTAAATAAAACTAGTATCGAGTCACACTCGACATAGAAGCGCAAAGGATTAACAGCTATTTTAATTAACAAGAAGAAATAATATAACACCCAGTATGTTGAGAAACAAAGAAATGACATACAGTTCTTCAGAAATGACAGACAACATTTAGTTATCATCGAGCGAGATCTTTTTCGCTGGAATATAACAGAATATTCCATTGGAAACGCTTCTATTCTGAAAAATTGGAACTCCGGTTAGAATCAGCCGAGCGGATTCTCCGCCTTAAACGGTCAATTTGCAAGCCCATCTCGTTTTCCACATGACTGAGCACGAAAATAAAATGAAACGCCGGCGAGTCTGTACGTCCTCCCATCAGCAATCCAAAATTATCCAAAAAGAAGCGTCTGTCCACTCGGAACAGTGCACCCCAATTACGCTCTCTCGGCTATGCAAACTCTCTCTCCAGGCCATCGAAAAGTTCGCAAACCCATCTCATTTTCTACTTCATCAAATTTGAAATAAAAACAAACGGCGAACAATTTCAACGCCCTCCAGGACCAACAGCGCAAGAAGAGGAAGTGGCGGAGGAGGAGAGAGCCCCGAAGAACCATGAATCTTCAGCAATCTCCACTCGAACGTTAAACAGCACATAACACGAAAGGCATTATCCGACAAAAGGACCATCGTCATCGCTGAAAGTCACAACAGGAGTGCTGTGCGCAATGCTCGGAGATACAGGGTGTAACAGAACACGTGGGACCTGCTTCGAATGCTGATTGTACGCTTGAAACCCATGAGAAAACCTTGTATAAACAGCCATTCTACTTATCCTTGTTTCAAAGTTGCAATAATCACCACGTTTCAAATGATTCTTAATTGTTTAACATTATAACATTGAAATGCTGTACAGGGATGAGAAATTGGACGACCTACAGATTAGAAAGTAACAGCTCCTTAATTATTTATTAATTATTTCTCCAAAGAAGAGAAGAATTTTATACTTATTCTACATTTGCTCCAGAAGTCAACGACTGATGACAAAACTACTACTCAATCTATATTAACCTTATATTAACCATGACTTTCTTCACGACACTTGGTTTTATTTTATTATTAATTATTCACGAGAAGGTAAGAGAATTTCCTATTTATAGTATACACTCGCTTCGAAGATAAAAACATTGATAATTGGAAAATAGTTCGTAGCTTCTACTTATATTCAGTGAATAAAACTAATTCTCATTAAACTGAATTAAAAGTCTTCACCATGAGTCTTACCAGTCATTATACAAGAGGTTAAGATAAAGGTAAATATCATTTGAATTCATCAAATTCAATTCTAAATTTTCATCACGAGTCCGATACTGTGTCTCAACTCCTTAGTATACTATTTACTTTCGCTACTAAGCTCCTGTAACATTTTACTACCGACAATTTCATAGAAATGCAAAAAAATTCTCCATTCTACTTGAAATGGAGATTTCATCTGAAGATAATAAATTGATAATAGGAAAATAGTTTTTTTTATTCGTGGGGAATGAATAACATTGAGTTTTCTAAAATTAATCTAAGAATCTTCATCACGAGTCTCACCATTGCCACGGTAAGTAGTTAAGGCAGAAGGTTCACACGAACTTTCTACTGTCTTCATATGCCTTGTCGTTCGAGTTCCACGTGTTCTGTCGCACCCTGTATATATCCCGCGCCGCG